TCTTTTCAGGTTATCCTACTAAAAATAATAAACATGTTATAATCCTTTGAAGATTTTGCAAACTGATGTCATTATGTTCTTAAATCATTTTTTTCTTTTAAACAAAAATCAAACAAATTGAAAAACTGAATGATGCTATAAAGTGATTTCCAAGTCTCTTAAATTATAAAAAGATTTCCTTATTACTTAAATTTTCCCAAGCATGCCTAAGTAAATATGTACTTTTCCTGCAATGCTTTAATTATTCAAGTTCCCTTTCTAGTTTGGTATTTAAAGCAATGCTTTCATCTCATAATTCTGAAAACTTTTTCTAAGTCACACTGAAAATAAGGCCCATTTAAATATACTCCCCTGGATTTACTTGCTTTAATGGAAACTAGTAAACTTCAATAGACCAAGCCATTCTTCAGATTCAGCTATTTCTAAAGGTTTGAAGTCACATTACTGCGCACATATACTAAAAATGCTTGATTTTTTTTTTTCTTAATATACAAGTTCTGATGAAGCCATGGTGGAGAAACTACTTGCTTCTCTTCTCCCCAAAGACAACTCTTCTCCATCTTGAGACAACAAATAATATTTGCTGAATTAAACTAACTCTGAAAAATTTAACCAACCACTAGGCTAGGTGCCAAGAGAACTTTTAAGAACTTTTAAAGATGTTCTTAAAAACAAGAATTTGCAAAAACAACTACTGAGTCATTGACTTGACATAAATCAAGGCATTAGCCATAGGGTCACTGGCTGCTTGGTCACTAGAATTACTGCATATATTAAAGTTGGAACTGTGAAAAAGTAGCACTGTGCCAACACAGTACTCCTGGTGTTAGATTCTAATGATTTGTAAAACAAAGGCCTTTTCTGTAGGCAATGTAAAATGAAGAAATGTTTTTTCTTTCTTTAAAATTCATGAATCACTGCTGGAAAGTCCTTGGGGTAAAGAAGTTCAAAGCCTTCCTTCTAAGGTTTCAGAGTCAAGAAACATAAAACAAATACAAGGTATAGTTTCTTAATTTTTACGGAAAAACATGGTTTTGCTAGTGCTAAAACTTATAACTGATAGTAAACCCATTTCACAAAGAAAATATTTTTTTCTCCTTCTTGCCTTTGTTTTTAATTTCTCTCACTTTCACCAAACTATAACCTTAGAAGTGCACATACTTCCTTTACCCTTCACTTCAGGGAAGCAGATTCTCTAAAATCACAGTGACACCTGAGATTCCAGTGCTATACACTTTGCAAGGAAAGATCATAAAGGCAGGAGATTATCTTATAATACCCACAGAAAGGATGTGAGGCAGGAGGATTTAAGTATCATATTAGCAGTCTTCTAAAATAGAAAAGATACACAAATAGTAGAAAAAGTGATCCACAGATCAATAAGTGAAGTTCCTCGCTTGACCTCAATGGCAAATATTTTAAGTCTTCAGAGTATATATGGTCTTCATCTCACGAGAATGTGACTGAAATGGGATTGAAAATTTGGGGATTTATTTATTTATTTATTTCTGAGGTGCTGGGGATTGAACCCAGGGCCTTGTGCATGTGGGGCAAGCACTCTACCAACTTTGCTATATCCCCAGCTGGAAATTTTTTCTAAAGGATAAGATCTAGAAACATCAAATACAAATTTAGATTAACATAATTTTTGTACAGTTTGATTAAAATTTTTTAAAGAATATACTATTATGAGGGCACAAGGCTTACTAAAAACAAATCATCTCTAGAAACTTTTCTTTTTCTTTTAATAATCTGTCTCCATCAGATCAAAATAAAGACATACAAACCAGCAGACATGATTTTTAGTTATACACATAACAGGTTCAAAATCATACCCCAAGTAAAACTAATGTAAGCTTATCTTAGCTTGCGGATCAGGCTTTCTCTAGGACACCATTTCAATATTTTTTATTAAACTTAAGATAAACAATGAGGAAAACAGGCTAACCAGCATATATGCAAGGAGGAATAGGTGATGGGTACCAAATCTGACTCAATGAAAAAAGACACACAAAAAAATATGGGATAACAATGAAATAGATTTCATTTCTCCTGAAAAACAAATGAGTAACTATTAGATTAGGAGAAAGGCTAGCATACAAACAATTTTTACCTAAAAAAAAAAAAAAATTAGGGGCTGGGATTGTGGCTCAGTGGTAGAGCGCTCGCCTCATATGAGTGGGACCCGGGTTTGATCCTCAGCACCACATAAGAATAAAAAGGCATTGTGTTGTGTCCACCTACACCTAAAAAATAAATATTTATTTTTTAAAAAATTAGCCACTGACAAAGTTCTCTGTGAGCCAAAGGCATGATAATGCTCTAAATACAAAAAGTAGTATTAGTAATGTTAAAACTTTTGCATGCAGGGAGATCATTATTTGGCGGGAATTTTTAATCTAGATGATATATCCAGAGTAAATAAAACATTTATGAGTGGGTCCAAAGGAGAGAGACACAGGGATCATCATCAAATACATGGAGGCTATTGAGGAACAGAAAGGAACAGTTGGTGGGACTTCCAGAATGAACTTGTCTGTGTGAGCTCAGCATTCTCCACTTTTCCTTGTAGGACCATCCAAAACCATCAAGGAAAACTGAAAACAAAAATTTCATTTTCAGTAAAACTGGAAAACAGACTCCAAAATATTTGCAAGGTCTTTCAAAAGAAACACAGTTAACAAACAAGGGAACCAAGGAGGAAGAAGCAGACACCAGCAACAGCAGGTCTCAAACAGCCCTGATTAGCAGGCAGCTAATCACAAATACTTCTGAAAGATGCAGGAAGATATGAGGGCAGAAGAGTGTGTTGGTGCAGGAGAAGCCCCCAGATCTAGTGGGCCTGGTTTTGTGGCAAGTGCAAGGAAAGGAACATCTGCATTATGTTTCTCCTTAGCCTCAATTTCTGACTTAACTTTGTTTGTTTTTGGTGGTAGTTATGGTTCTGGGGATTGAACCCAGGGCCTTGTGCATGCTACATCCCCAGCCTCCTTTCAGTTTTAGTTGTCATTTATCTTATGAGTAAGATCGACTACCTTTAGCTACTTGGTTCATGAAATAAGGAATCTATTCTCCAAAGAGTTTTAGCTGAACCACTAATGTCAATAAAGGGCCCCAAACCATTTATGACTCAAATATTCCCGTTAATCTTCTAGGACCCAGATCACCAAAAATCCAAACAAGCGGATTCCACTCATGTCCATGTTTCCCTTTTCAGTGCCCATCTCCACCATTCCTGATTAAGAGATACAAAGAGATGACACTAAGTTTGAACTTTTATTGAGATTCTAAAGTTAAAGGGCAAACTGAAACATGCAAAGTACAAAACTCCTGTTTTAGAAGACAACTCTAACTAAATGACCTTAAAACTTCAGTTTATCACCTTGAACCATAACCTTAACTGACTACCTCACACAAGGGCTGAATAATGGAAAATCCTCTCACTACTGATTGACTACATAAAGTTATTTCTGAGGCCTGTGCTACGAACAGCTCTAACTGATCTGATCCTTCACATTTCAAGTTAAACACCAACAAAGTTACCTGTATGATCTGCTTAAGGAGAACCTAACCAGGATTACAAAGGACAGTGGAGAATACCACATAAAGAAAGATCTATAAACAGATAGCCACAGTTCCGAATCTCAAGTAGCTTTTCTAATATACTAAGTACAAATGGTCAAGGTACAACTTGAACAAACTTCCAAACCCATCCAGAATTTGTTGTGTTTGGAGAATACTGAGAAAAGCCTTAACAAAATTTTACAAGGGATTTGCAAATAAATTACAAAAAGAATCACATAAACACTAAGCTGATATAAAGGAAGGTATGGCCTATGTTTTTCGATAAAAGACCTGGCTGAATATTTCCAAGCTCCATAGTTAAGAGGGGTGCTGGTTTCTCATCAGGGGGCAAATTATAATCAGTTTTCAGAATGTAGACTACAAACACACAAAATAAAACAAGACCCTCTGCCAAAATATATTGCTAGAAAACTTGAATAATAACATGTGTTACTTAAATTGAACTCTACTGGAAAACATCACTTCATGACTTTACTGGTTTTGTTCTTTTTCTGAAGGAGAAAGATAAAGGTAAAACAATAAGATGTTTGAATTAAACAGAAACAAATGATCATGAAAAGGAAATTTGTGATTGTGAAATACACAGCAAAAGGAAGTCAAAAAAGAAAATCAAAAGATCCTTTTAACCTAGTAAAATACAGAGGAATGATATGTTTCCATGAATTAAAAATGAAAATCTGGAGGTAATTACACACCACTGTTAAGAATATTAATGAGTGATCAGGCGATACAAAAGGTCCTTCTACCTAACAGGACATACTAATCTCATGTTAAAATTCTGTGTTCTTTATTCTTAAATATTCTGCATCCCTTAACTTAAATATATATAAAAATATAAAGGTATAGTTAAGAGTCACTTTTTGTTTATTTTTATGGTACTGGGGATGGAACCCAGGACCTCATGCATGTGAGACAAGCAAACCAACACTGAGCTACATCCTCAACCTAACTAAATACTCCTTTGAAGTAAGTTAAGGCTTTTAGAGAAAAATGTTTTCATGTGAAAAAGTCTGAAGTTTCCAAAAAACGTAACCATACAAACTGGAACCTAGAGGCCAAGAATGGAAAAGAAATCAGGTCAAGCCTGAGCAAGCCAACTTAACCACAATGGAAACACTGCACAAAGCTCATCTGATGCCATCTCTGGGACACCAATGCTCTGCATCTCACAATATGTCGATGAGTAACTGTAGGGCAGATCCTCAAAGTTTTTACAAGGAAGGAAAACATTTCTAAGACCTCAAGAATGTGAAGGCCTGCCAGTCCAAAGCACAAGCTTTCCTTTAGAAGTTTTTGAAAAGCTACACAGAGGATGGGTATTATCTCAGTGGGCTACAGACAACACGCCTTGGAGTACTTGGCAACCAAGTGAATATGAAAGAGAAAAGACCAGTGTGGACATTTTTATTTTCTACCTCTTCTAGCCTCCGCCTCTGTTCTTTCTGCTGCTCGATTCGTTTCTGCCTCTCTGCCAGCAGCTGCCTTTTATACTCTTCCTGCTCCCGGAGCTGTTGCTCCTGCAATAGTTGCTGTCTCCGGAGAGCCTCAGAGCGTTCCTTGTTCTCCTGTTGCAGTCTCAGGAAATCCCGACGGAGAGTAGACTCACCAGGCACGTTGACAATGGAACTGTAAGAGGAAGCAGGGCTTTCATGGGTATGTGCACATTACCCTGACCTCTAGGAAAGGTAGCAATTCTGGTATCCTAATCCCTTTCTAAATTCATTCCTAATGGGAGTCCCCAACTGACCCTAGAAGTTAAATTAAAACATCCATAGGAATGACTGTTACTTACAGCTCAATAGTCCCACATCTTCTTTTACCATTTAGGAGCATCTTAAAAATTCTATCCTACATGTTTGCTTGACAAAATACTTATTAATCCAAACTCTGTAAAATGAAAGGTTACAGGCAACTTCACTTCACTGTCTTGCCCCTTGTTTTCCATCAGTAAACAAAAATATCAGGGCAGTCTTCAGTACTAACTGTTCCTTTATCTTCACCTTGTCAACTACCACGTCCTGTCATGTATGTCCTCCCCCAGTTTTTGTGTTCAAGTCACCAGCTGAACTCCATGGGTCTCATGAATTAGCCATTGCAGATAAATTAACCAGCGCCCATCCTGGCCTCTCTATTTCTCCCCTTCCATGCTATCCAAAATATCATAGCTAACAAATCTCCTACAATTACCTCTTATTCAATCATTCTCCAACCCCAAAACAATTTTATATATCCTGTGAAATCAGTTCAAACTCCTCTAAACTTTTCAGTTTAGAATAGATTCAAATCTTTTCCTACAGTAAAAAGCAAAATGTTGTTTCTTTAATAAATTCTCTTCTCTCAACAAACCCTCATTCTCAAACACATGGCTCCTGCAGTGATGTCATGAATGGGTGTCAGGAAAAACATCGCTAAAATCCAAAAATCCTTTACTCTTTGATTGATGTTCTTACGAAGTTCATCTTACCAGTTTTAACTCCTCAATCTTTGTATACTGCACCGTAGGAAGCCCAAAATAAATCAAAACATAAAATGGATCAGTGCAGAACACACTCTAACATAGGAAATCAAATGCTGGTGACCCCATTTGTGAGAGGAGCAAAAAATGGGGGATGGGGGGTTTGGGGAAAGACTGCATAGTTTTTCAATGCAGGCCATGATTCTACCTCATTCAAAATAAATATCCTTGAACATTTTGCTGAGAAGAGCTCCAGATGACATAAAATTGGCCTTATGAGCAGGACAATTTACTGAGTGTAGGACTGATCTTCCCAGTGTAAGGCCTGCATTATCTGTGCCTTCTGGACCAACAAATAGCAGGGACAAAGTCTCCTGTCCAAGTTCAACACAGCCATGCACAATTCCAAGTTACTGGGTAGGGATTAATGTGTAATCCTTGTTTTAAAAAAGAAGAAAAACCAACAGTGGGTAATGAGATGTTTATAGGAATCTGTCAAAAAGAGAGAGAAAAAGAGAGAGAAATGGGAGATAGTAAGGCACTTTCAAGGTAATTTAAGACTCCTTCCTATTACCCATGAGCCTTCTAAAATCCTGGCATCAGCACCAAGTGCAGTCTATGAACAGAGGCTGTGCCTTTACCTTGGCTCTCCTTCCTGTTCAGGCACTTCCTCCTCTTCTTCCTCACTCCCGCTGTACTCGTATTCAGTTTCATCTATGAAGACAAGGACAAGACAAATGGGACAGTTCATATCCTGACATGTGCCTACACATGCAAGCATCTCCAAGAGCATTATGACAAAAGATAAACAACATGTTATTTATGAAAACAGCAACTTGTATGAAGGACACTAAGGGAGGTAGGAAAAGACACAAATCCCCACATTTAAAGTGCCAATTCTGTAGGGTAGCCTAACCCCTTACGGAAGATCTGATTCTGCCTCATTCAAAATAAAAATCCTTGAAGGTTTTGCTGAGAAGAGCTCCAGATGAACAAAATCAAAGTGACTAGAGCACCAGCAAATTCACAGAAGTTTATTCTGATGTCAAAATTGAAAAGAAACAGATTGAGCTACTGAAACTAACCAAAACAACCAAGAAAATTTGTTTGGTTATTTTTAAATACTGGAGATCCATTGGGAGTACAGCAGAGAGAAAGGTTTGCTAGGTGGACAAAAAGTGAAGCATTATGTAGTAAGAAAACAAAATCAAATATTCCCACAATTTATAAGAACTAAACCAGGGAAAAACGAACCAAACAATATAGCAAATGGATGGGGAAAAAAGCTGCTCAACTTAAGACTAGACTGTAATCAAAAGTTTCAACATGAATAATTCATTTTCACTTCCACAGGTTTTATTTCATTTTCCTAAAAGTAGTAGGCCATTTTACTGGTCCCATTACAAATGTCGGTATTCAACTTTCAGTGAGCCATTTTACTCCAAAGAGCAATCAAAACCACAGAGGCTGAAGAGACTTAAAAGTCTACATACAAACAACAACAAAAAAATACACTTGTGCTTTCTGTCAGGTACACAAGATGAAAATCAGTTTCCTGGTGAGAAAAACAGGCCTAAGGACTTAAAATATGGTTTAAGACCAATTTGTCAATCTGTACATATGACATTGGTTCTTCCCTATTCTGGACAAAGTTACATAATTTTTTTTAATTTATTTTTTGGTTAGACATAATATCTTTATTTTGTTTATTTATTTATTTTTATATGGTGTTAAGGATCGAACCCAGGGCCTCACGCACGCTAGGCGAGCGCTCTACTGCTGAGCCACAACCCCAGCCCAAGTTACATAATTTTAATAGACTGATAGATACATGCCACCCTCTAAGGGAAATTCCAACCTAAATTATCACTGGAATCTTTTAAATGAGTACTTCATTATTTTTAAAATTTTGTACTATAAACCAGTAACTACTAACAAGAAGCTGAGGGTTTATAGAAGGTGAATGTGAAAAGAAAATAAGCTGTTGTGACTTAAAGTTAAGAAAAAAAGGTTAGGCGCACTACTTGTTTACATTGGCAAAATGTAAAAGATGAGGGATACTTGAGGTGATCCAGGTTAAGTACTTAATTAACACCTGGTACACAGCAAGAATATTAGCTGTTATGATTAAGTAACAGGAAAATCATCCAATATAAAAATAATATTTGCCACAAATAGGGCTACCCTGTCAACTGTTTAAAAAAAAAAAAAAAAGACTTGTTTTCAACTTTTAGTTCACTTTGTTACAATCACATAATTCTATACACACACTTTGTTACAATCACATAATTCTATACACAAAGCTTAATTACTTTTATGACTGAATACATCAGTGGGAAAAAGAACACCAATCAAGGCTTCACTAAGAAAGAATATCTAAGTTGTCCAAGATGCAAATGAACAAACAAAAAGCTCCATAGAGGCTCCAGGATGACTCTGACCAGCTCTCTCTCTTTGGCAGTGCTAGGAATTGAAGCCCAGGATACCTCATGAATGCTAGGCAAGCACTTAACTATGAGCCCAGCCCCTGACTAACTCTCTTTTGCCTTGGACTTGCTCTCTTTAGTTTCTTCTTTGACCTTGAAATGTATTTTTAAAAAAAATTTTTTTTTAATTTCATGAATGGAATGCAGTTATGCAAATGCTGTTCTATGAGGTTAGTGTAAAGTCACTAGGAGCCCAAAGATAAGGCATGTACTGTACCTTGCTAGGCAGAAGGAAAACGGGGCACGCCAGGCAGGTGGGCACAGTAGGTTTACAGAAAGAAAACAAAGATGCTGAGACAGAAGGGAACCCTCATTAACTCGTATAACAGAATGTTTGTGTTGTGCAGAAGTAAGAGAAAAGTGAACCATGCCTAAGCATACCACCTGTAGCAAAGTAAAGCAGCAGGAAACCCTGGTTCCTGAGCAGGAGAATAATATGGGAACACTGTCATGATGATGGTCCAAAACCCCAAGTGAAGGAAACTGTAAGAACATCCAATATGAAGTAAAATAAATAGCGCCACTGAGGTGCTGCCAAGGAGAGACAGGAAAAACATCCCATCATGCTGAGCTACCACAATGCTAATCAAACTGGTGTCAACTTGGGACACACCATACAGCTCTGGCTGCTCAGATCCTAGGCCAGATCACTGTACTGCACAGCAGAGACAAACTATCTGAGAACTGGCCAAGTGAGAACCACCTCACAGCTAGGGAAGGAATGGCAAGAATCTAAAAAGAAAAATTTTAAATGATGAAAATAAAAACAGATTTAATACCTTTTTCTCCTCTCTTCTTTCTGGTTCGATCTATATGATCCTTAAGTTGGATTCTAACTTGCCTTTCATTTGGTTGATCCCTTATAAAAGGATGTTTCAAAAGCTGCTCTGTGGAGGGCCGCTGCATGTAATTCTTCACTAGACATCCTTCTATAAAACTAAAAAATTTCTTTGACCTGTAAGAGGAAGTGAAAAATATCATCAAATTTCTGCCACAAAGAGCAAAGTTCCAAAATATCAGTAACTTATAAACTTGAAAACAAAGATTTTCAGGATCCACTATGAATATTCTGCAAATGCACAGGAACAATACAAGAATGCAAATAGGAACTCAGGTTCTTGGTGATCAGGAGCATGATTTTAATAGTTTAAAGAATTATACCATATCACTGACAACACACTACAAAAAGCGTTGTGAAGGAAATCAGGTTTAAATGTACTGGATTTAAATCTAATGTTGCTCACTAATCACTAAGCCATGGGTAGGAGAAGCAGGAATAGGGGGGAGGTCTTTGCTAATATGAAGTCAAACACAGGACAGATAGATACCTTGACACCTAAAAGATGAGGACAGACACAGGGGCAAAGAAGCCTTGCATTGACAAAATGCTGGGACTCTTACACCTGTTCATTTGACACTTCAACCAGATTTCATTTGGCTTAATATACAAAGGTAGGAATGACAGTTTTGAGAGGGCAATGACTTTGCCACCCTTACTATCAGCCACTTTTAGCTTGACCTTGGTCTTCTCTTATTCACAAAGACTCTCCAGCCCTGCCCTTAGCTAAGATACTCTCACCCACTCTGTTTTGAGACACACCTGTCATGTCTTTTGGTAAGTCTTTCCTGGCAACATTTTATCCTACATACCCCAAGATAGGAGACTTTTCTGGTGTTATCTGCACTTAACATACTGAACACTTTTAAGCTTCTGTCTCCTTTACTGGTTTGAAATAGTTCAGGAAGGAACAGTTCTCTCTCTCTCTTTTTTTTTTTTTTTTTTTTTACTTATTAGCAATGCTAAACTCTAAGCATGGCATACCACAAAAGGTATATAATAAATTTTTGTTGAATGAATGAAATATTCAGTCTTTAGAAATGTGATTTAAAAAATTAATTCACTTCTTTCATTGTTTTAAAGAATCACTTTAATTATTTTTTATTTCCATTCAAACTTACTATTTTTTCAATTCAACAAATATTTATATATGTGTTTGTTTATGGTAGGCTCTATAAGAAATGTAAATAGAAACAGAGAAAATTTAGGTATGCCCAATAACAGATATATAATCAAACTTACAGAAGAGAAAAAGCAAAAACTACTACAGTGGGTTAGACATCAAGAAAAAGCAGGTGTTTGATATGCCAAAGATGAGAGAGAAAAGACAGCATGAAGGAACAATAAGAACAAAGGGGCAAAAATATCAGAGAATAAGAAGTCATTTTCTGAGATTACTATGAAAGTGGAGAAGAATGCGGAAATATGTTAGAATTGGCTCAGAGAAAGGCTTCAACATCAAAGAAGGTGTTTAATGAGAAACATGGGAAATTTAGAGAATACTATAAAATGGAATGCTCTAACTCAGAGATCCCTAAATCCTGCTGCCCTTGGGGATCATTTCAAGGAATTTATTAAAGATACAAATACATGAATCATTCCCCAGACCAAACACTGGAGTTCTGAGTGAAAAGATTCCAAAGGAATTTTTGTGTACAACAACCGACATTCAGGAATCAACAATCTATAATATTTTCTTTAAAAATCAACAATCAATTCTGCTGGAAGAGAGGTTATTAATCATCTTTTTAATCACCATTTCTCCAGAAACAGTAATAGAAATTTACATCTGGTAGACAGCAAAATAGCAGTCCCAAAGAAAGAAGGTTTTATGTCTGCAATCCTCTAACCCCTTTAGAATACCTGGGTAAAATGAGAACAGTGGTGTGAATGGATGAACATGGAAGTCTGGTGTTAAGAAAAGAATCCAGGAAGCATTTATCTCTACGATGACAACCTACACCACAATATTTTTACATAATTGTATATTGTACATATAGTACACAAAACTGCAAGTAATGGACAGAATAATCAGAGTGTGAGGTACCCTGAAGACAGAGCATTAATTCAGTAATCCTCCCAGTAAATATTCCCTTCAAAAAAATATGAAAGGGAAAAGAAAAAAGAAAAACAAGAATCACTTGGTTTAGGATGAGCTAGATAAAAAATTATTACTCCACCCCCTACCTTACTCCTAAGTGATATCCACTGTACACACTTGGTGTCCCTGGAGCTGCCTATCCATGATGCCAAAAGTTATTATATCTTAACACAGTGGACCAATCAAGCTAAGATCTTTGCAACTGTGTGGCCTTTGACAACCTCTCTAAAACTGGTAAATGGAATGAGATGGCCTCAGTTATCTGGAATCCAATGCAGTTAAAGACACTGCATAAAGAATGAGAAAAATCCAGCTAGAATAAAGATGGGGAAGTAAGAGTAAAATGTGTGAGAACCCAAAAAGTGAGGAAAGGGAGAAGCACAAAGGAAGCTGGGGTGAAAATGTATGTACATGTATATACCCCAGAGGGGAAAAGAAAACTGCAATAGATCAGAAAACAAACAATCAAGAGCAGAGTACACAGGAATAGAACAAATCCTGAATGGAAGACTCGGAGACTTTGTGCATATTTCAGAAGAGACAAAATCCTAAGGGAAAAACATTAACTGGAAAACTAATAAGAATAGTTTTAAAAAGAAGAAAGGTTGGGGTAAGAGGGAACCAGCAGAGCACAGTAGGTAAGCATCAATAAAGATAGATAAGCCCAGGAAACAGGAAGGGAAACAGAGAAAGGAAGAAAGGCCCCCATATATGTATGAGGAGCTTGAGTGTAGACAAGACCTGATAAAAAAAGATTCAAGAAAAAAAGTTCAGGAAGGAACAAGTGAAAAAAAACTCTTGGGGTTGGGGTCGGCGATATCCGGGCCTGGCCCCCTCCCTTTAAGATTTTAAAATTCACCCAAACACATACTCCCATAATACTGAAACTCTAAAGGCTTTCCTCAGGGAAGGCTGTCATCACAGCCCTCCCAGGGATATCAGTGTCTCGTCGGACACATGCAGGAGAGAAGCAAGAAGGGAAGGAAGGTGGCTGCCAAGGAGAGGGGTCCGGTCTGTTACTATGTTCTTCCGGAATGAAAACAAGCATGCCAAAAAAACACTTAATAACAATAATTATGGTAAACTCGTCCATTAATTTTAAAGTCCTATTTCATCTGAGAGATTTCAAGTCAACATAGCTTTGCTGTTTTAATGGAAAGATGTTTAAAAGTATACTGTACTTAAAAGCAAATATTAAATATATATTTGATTTTATTTTTTTAAATATTAAAAAGAAACCACGTTATGGTGTTTCACATGATAACCTGACACTATTTTGTAAAGAGAATTTATCAAGAAAAAAAAGGACTAAAAATATTAATTTATTTTTTTTAATTGGTGTTTGGCTTTTACAATGGTTGAAATTAGAATGGCCAGAATTTTACTTCAAAAGAAAGTAAAACTGAAAAGAAACAATACGATTTTAAAAAAGAAAGAAAAGAACAACAACAAAAAATCCATACATAGCTTACCATTTTTTTGACTTCAGCCGGGGAGGAGGGTTTCTGGGAATGAGAAACAGTGCTCTCATTGGATGCATGTCACAGAGAGCTGGGGAGAGGAGACGGTCGTGTCAGTATGGCACTTATTTTACTCATTCTTGACTTCTAGGGCTCATTCATAAGTAACACCAAACGGTCTGTTCCAATTGCCCAATTAATAGGCTTCATGTCAAGCTGTCTAGACATCTAGCTTGGAACTCTGGGCATACCTTGAATTTCTCATTTAAAAATATAAAATATACAAAGGACAAGAGCAACAAGAAGAATATACACTTTCAAACAGACATTGGACAGTTCTCATGAACCAAAGATAAAAATTAATTCAAAGTCTTAAAAGAAGATAAAAACACTTATGTTTTTTAAGCCATCCGTAAGATTATAGTGAAAATGGTTGTATTTTCACAGGGTTGTTCTAATAAGGATTAAACAAGGCACTGCTTGTGAACACACCTTGGGAAGGCCTTCATACAATGCCTGGAACAGAGTAAGGATAGTTAAGCCCTTCAGAGATGCTGCTGACTATTGTTATAGCTAGTATTATTATGAAAGAGTGAAAATGTGGAAGTAAAATGGAGTTGTCTAATTCTGTGCTATTACTACCTCTACAATCACTCATTCCAATAAAGATGGTCGGCACACATGTATGCATTAATGTCACCATAGGTAATGTGCATTTTCATGTGTTTATTTACCTTCAAGAGATTCTTATAAGGCAGCTGGGAATGTGGGGGGTGGAGACGCAGACAATAGTATTCCCATTGTGAAAGAAAACTGAGACAAAGGATCAAGCAATATTTCCCTGTCCCAATTCCTTAGAAAGAAACATGAGGAACATCTGGTATTCAAAGCAGATATCTATTTCTGTATTGCAAACTAATTTGTTTTCAATGATTTTTTTCATTCATTCAACAAATATTTATTCAGCAACTATGTACCAGGCAGTTACACTGTCTTTCCCTTTTAGGGAAACCAGCAGAAAATATGGCTTTTTTCTTTTTTTCTGTTATTCTATCCCAACCCTGATCAAAACTCTCAATTTTATAAAGTTTTCATTGATTTAATCCAAGGAAAAGCAAACACTCCTACAAATTTTCATGAATAATCCGCCCCCCTCCAAAAAAATTCTGTAAATAAAAATAATGCCTCCATTTATTAAGTCAAAACTTAAGTAATACTAAAATTTCATGTTAGGAACCAGTTTAACTGGATATTAACTTTAAAATGCAAAACCAAAAATTACCAGTTATTGATGTGATCTCAGCTTACACATGTGAATTCTACTTAAATAAAAAGAAAATACAGCCTATACATACCAAGAGATCTCCATAAGGGACAATGGTTATCAAGAATTGCATTTATAATGTTTACAAATGCCTCCACCAAGAATCACTTTATACATGAAACTACTCTTTGACACCTAGGAACTAGTTTAGGTTACATACTACAACTGGGCTAAAAAGTAAAGAAAAATTACTTACGGGGAGCACCTTCTGCCATCTCAATGGCTGTAATGCCACAAGACCAAAGATCACTCTGCAAAAATAAAACAGTATGCCATATTAGCTGCAAAGCCATTAACTCACTTATGACTATTCACACAACTGAAATAAAGGCTTTCTTTCAAGTGTACAAAACAACTTGTCAGGATATTAAAAGTGAAAACACAGTTATAGGAACACCTTACAAGTGAGTGAACAGATGATACCTAAAATAATAAAGATTAGCTGATTAAAACCACTCATCGCTGTAAACGAGACAGACATAATTGATGTAAAAGCCCTCTAACAGCTCAGTGAATGTTCTCCTCTTCAGTGTGCACCCACATTTCTTTACAAGCATTATGTCTAGACTCCTGGATCAGATTTATGTTTGTTTTTATATTTTATGTTAGCACCTCAAATGTAATTAAGATTTTAAGTTTAAAGGACAGAAGCCATTCTTTACAAAATTCTTAAAACTATTCATAAAATCAATACTTATTCACTAATTCAAATCATACTATGGGGCCTCTGTACTCCATCTTCAAACCAAACAAGGGAGAGATGGAAGTAAACTGTCTTTGTATGCAAGGACTCTATTCTTCCTGATTCCCCTGAAATGTTAACTTTAAATTTTGAATTAAACTTTTGTTCCTTGCTCAAAATTCCACAAGGGCGAGTGTTTTTGTTTTGTTCATTTTAATATCTGATAGATAATCAATAAGCACCGGCTGAAGAACAAATCTTATTTTAAAAAAGAAAAATAGACAGTTATTGTCATTAGTATACATTTCATTTTTATGCTATCATGATCATATAATTACTCAAAGTTGCTCAATTTAAGTTTTCCAATATTAACCTATAATTATCTTACAAAGTAATTATGTTTGAATACAAGAATAAGAATAGACCTACATAACAGCCAACAATAAAAAATTTAAAAAAAAAAAAAAGAATAGACCTACAAATTTCTCCCTTACTTTTATGGAATTTTCCATACTACAAGGGTGCAAAGGGCTTACTGCCTTAAACCAGAGGACATTTTGGCAGTGTCAATGGTCGCATAAGCAGGGCTGTAGGTTTCCTGGCATAAGGCAACACAAAGTACCCCAGCTCCTATGAGGTCATCTTGTAAGTGAGCTTTCCTTGACAATAACTGAGCCTTTGCAGTTGACAGGAAACAAGAAACACATATTACATAGGAATCATCAGGCAAATCTAGAGAGTAGAACATTTTACAATAGACCCAACGTCTTAAGCAAGTCAGGTTCATGAATAAAAATGGGGATGCATTCTAAATTAAAAGCTACTCAATGGCCAAACAACCAAATACGTCCTGTCCTGCACTGGATACTGGTTTGGACAAATCAGCTATAATCTTAATTAAGATTTTCAATTATTAACTCTGTATAAGGAATTATTTGAATTCACTTAGGTATGATAATATTTTGAGTACACTCAAAAATGGTTTCTAATTTTAAGAGATATGCAATAACATTAAAAAATAAAATGTCACAAAATCTGTAACCTATTTTTTAAAACTCCATATAAAAGAAACAATAAAAATTCCTCAGCTGCATTGATTTAATTTAAGCCTCAGTAATTGGGTACTTAAAATAAATACTGAAATACACTGGGGACTGTTAAGACAAACTTCACGATGAATATCACTAACAGGTACATTAACCACTCCAGTTTGTTTAATTAAGTTTTTTTTTTAAATAAATTTTTGTAAATATAGCCAACCTAAGTCTGATTACCAAATATGGATTTTTATACCTGGATCAAATGCATTATTGATTCAAGTCCCTCAAGGTCACTCTAATAATCTCAATATATTTGTATACTAAATGAAAACTATGAGACTCTTTTAACAAGAAAAATCTAAAATTTTATAAATGTAGCTCTTATACATTCTGACAATATTTAAAAAATATATTTGATTTTAAGAAATTCCTCAAATTAAAAAGGATAACAAATGGGAGAAAACTTTTAATGTACTCATGAAGAAAAGTTCCATGTACTACATACCCAGTGGCCTGTACTGTCTGACACAAGTGCAATCCTTAGTGAAGCAAACGGACAAAAAAGTCACTTAACACTGTTCTGGAAAATTTGCGCCCACAACAGGGGCTCATGTCTTCCTCGAGAAATTAAGAAGTATGTATGAAATACATAAGCAACCTCCATTCACCCCTACAACTGAGCAAAGGCCAGCCAAGCAGGTGCCTCTTACTCTGTAGTCGTAGGTGGCGTCTGGGTTCTCATCACAGGCGATAACTTCAGGAGCCATCCAGTAGGGGGTGCCTATGAATGTATTCCTCCTTCCAACTGTCCTGTCCAGCTGAGCACTCACCCCAAAATCAACTGTGAAAGACAGAAAAAGGAAGAAAAAGTAGAACATGATTTAAGATGCAAAGAAAAAACTGGATGGAAAAGGTATCTTCATAGTAAACTAAAATAGCACTGTTTGATGAACCTGCAAAACTCTTCAAAGTAGGACACTTCCAAAAGGAGTGCCCTTTCCAGAGCAAAGTCATTTGCAAGATCCTCTGCCATATGGAAACTCCTGGGAGGCGTGGTCCAGGATCAGCAGAGGGTCTTTTGCATCAATGACTACTAGTGCTTTCAAAGAACACAACTGCCATAAATGAGTACAGGTTCAGAAAAGTCCCAAGGAGAAATGACCTACACTCCAAATGATTTAGCTTCTTTGTTTTAAGCAGAATTAAGGTTTTCTTGAAAAGAATAAAGCATTGCTCTAAATAAAGAGAATAGGGAATATACAAAAAACATCCCCAGAAGCACTTGGGATTTCTGTTGAGTTTTCAGAGGGACTTTTACTTCCTGCCCAATTTAACTTCAGAATAGTTCTGCTGAACTTCACAGGTGGGAGGCAGGGTTGACAGAAAGTCCACATCAGAATGTCTGTCCATCAGTATCTACCAACATTATCACTACCTGCAAACTGCCATGACCCCAGTAAGAAGTGCACAGAGGAGTAGGAGCTGCTCATGCCAACGAGTCTATGAATTGCTGAGATAATTCATTGGTGTCAAAGGTTCCAATTCTGTCTACAGAACATGCTTGGGAATCAACTGGGCTGGGGGTGGGCTCATTAACTGAATGCTCAAGACAGGGAAGCATGGGCCACAAAGTAAGCACAGAAAGTCTGAGCAAGCTTCACAGCAATTTGGATAGCAACAGCAACTGATCACTAAGTAATTACTGAGGGACTATCATAGGCCTGGCAGCAGAAGGCCAATATACACAGGTTCATTGAAATCATTAAGTGAGGACAACTCAAGGGCTTCCTATCTTAGCTTTGAGGGGAGTTTCCAAATACGCAGACTAGTCCTCCACAGGTGATCAATAAATACAGGCACTACACAACAAAGCAAGGATGAAAATTTTAAAGTACAACTATTGTGCCAAGGTTTTTGAAAGGAAGATGGACTAGATTCTTGTGAGCATAAAGATAAAAAGTGTTTATATGATGTTTCAATGAAAGAAAAATTAATTCTAACAGACTTTAAAAAAACTTCAAAGAACCATTATATGAAACTAGATGGGAAGAAGTTCAGATCCAGCTAAGGGAAACAGATAATATTTTTTAAAAATCATTGTAAAGCCATCTCTGGGACGGCCAGAGTCTTCAATTATCTATCCATGCAGAAATTTAGCAAAAATCTACCCTGGAGGCAACATACTAGGTGCTGGGTAAGAATATACTGGTAAACAACAAAACAATCCTGGTCACACACTCTCAGATCTTGAATTCTGGTAAGGAGACAGAAATACAAGAAAATAAATAATCATGTAATTATAAATTGTGAACAGTGCTGGGAAAGGAAAAAGAAACACAGCCCAAGACAAATAAGAGAGCCAAATAAAGCCTCCTGCAGATGAGGAGAAAACTTTTTAGTTTCAAAATAGAGGTTAAATCTTTCAAATGGGGAACAGTATGTGCAAAAACCCTGAGGCAAGTTCTAAGAAGTGGGGAGGAAAAAAACAGTGATTGAGAAAGGAAATAAAAGAGGCTCACAAAATGGGGTGGGAAAATAGTAGGAGCCAGTTCCTACAAGGCTTTTTATGGACCAGCAGAGTTCAAGTGTATTTTATCTAAAGTAAAATAGGAAGCCACTAAGGGTCTTTAAGCAGGAATGTGACATGGTCTCAATCAGTTGGCTTCTGTACAGAGAACAAATCAGAGGAGAAGCCCAAGAGAAAGGAGGTTGGAGCCTGGCTAAGCAGTAAGCCCAGGCCCACATTTTTAAGAACAGGAACAGAAACAGAAAATATGGGTAAAAGAATAAACTTTTAGAAGCTTGGGTTGTAGCTTAAGTGGTAGAGTGTTCGCTTAGCACCTGTGAGGCACTGGGTTTGATCCTCAGCACCACATAAAAATAAAATAAAGATATCATATCCACCTAAAAAACTAAAAAATAAATATTAAAAAAAAAAAATGAACTTTTAGCTAAATGTAAACAGGGCAGCAAGTTGCCTGAGGGGCAAGTATGCCACACATCCCTCACGTACCAAGTTTCACCTCTGCATTCTCCGTAAGCAACACATTCTGGCCCTTGATATCCCGGTGAATCACATGGTGAATGTGAAGATGTGCCAGTCCCTGAAAAGGACAGACAGATTAGAATTTTAGTTCTTTGTCCCCGTTAGTAAACAGCTAGCAACACACCTTTTGTAACAAAGTATACGTGATCCAAAAAGTTTCGTTAAGTTCATAATTAGGACATAAAATTTTCTTTTAGCACATACCTAGGAAGACACACCAATACTATCATACAGAAGAAACCCACCTAACCACAACTTCAACCGGCTAGTTTTCCCCTCCGCAACATGAGCACTTGTGAGCTGTGCCTTTAAGACACACTTTAGATTACCATCTACAGTTTCTCTGCTATAATTTGTGCTATTTGTGTACAGGGTGGTTCCTTTCCCACGACAATGTCTATCTTTCAGTGGGTGACCATGGGTATATTTGCACTAGACAAATCCCAAAAGAAAAACAAAGGGCTAGAGCAGATTTAAATCTAGTTATAAAATGTCATCTTGTCTTCCCACTGTACAGTGACAAACTGCTAAGTGTTCATCAATCCCACCTCTACCCAAAGTGTAAAATGATTCTGAAAAGAGCCTTGTGTTGAATTAAAATATCTTTCTTTCCCAAGAAACAAACTCTACTGGGCATATAGCACTTTTTGATGACCTTCTATCTAGAATGAAGCCCAAGAGCATGTCTCTCGAGAGGTAGTAGAGGAACAAAACCACATGCTGCATCCAAATATGGTCTGAAAGATAGCAGCCATCATTCTCACAACTGATTTGTTTGTTTTATCCTTAACTGGAGAAGCTAAATATGAAGCCTGTCTCCTTAAGATACCAGCAACCTATATACTCTGAAACATCTTGATCGAAAAGTGTAGATCAGGGCTGGGGCTATAGCTCAGTGGTAGAACACTTGCCTCACACATGTGAGGCACTGGGTTCAATCCTTAGCACCACATAAAAAATAAATGAAAGTATGTTGTCCATTTACAACTACCAAAAAAAAAAAAAAAAAAAAAACTTTTAAAAGGTAGATCACGAATAAGGATTTGATTATTTTTATGAGATTTGTTATTAACATTACTTCGTAGGATATGAATTAAATATAATAGTCACTGTAGAAGATAAATTTTTCTAACATGGGGGGCTCTAAATTCATTTATTATTCTGCCTATGAAATAAAATACCTTATTTGATGGCTGTTTACTCTTTATAACATGGGATGTGCATATTATCCCAATAAGCACTGAATAGAGAAAAATGTCTAAAAATATATGGTCCCTTAGTGCCCTAGTTAGATAGAAAGGAAATATGTCCTCCTGTTAGCATGATTTGACATGGAAGAGCCAAGGAGACAAAAATGTCTACTTCTATTACTTCACATGAATTTGTTCTCTAACTTACAAAACCCCATTCTTATACTTTCACAGGCTTAGCAACAAACATTAAGTATCCATATCTTCTCAAACCCTTGTAGGCCTACATCTTGTTTCATTGCCAGCAGTAAATGCACATGGAACCATGCCTATCTTCCTGTCCACACACTGCTAAGGGATCTCAACTTCTGCTTGGGAAACTGCTCAAGGTGTGTCTTAACAGCTCAGTAATGATGTTAACTTGAGTTATGATTATTCAGAACAATGAATACATTTTTTTTGTATGAAGTACCCAGGACTGTTTGTGACTCTTCTCATGCCAGAAGACAGGCCACAATTACTTCTCCTCAGCAGAGATAAGTCAGAGATAGCAAGTCCAAATACTCAGTAAATACCGCATGTTCAAGGAAACTAATCAACGTTTCAAAACTAGGAAATATTTTTCCTGAAAAGAACAAAGGATATTCCTCAGCAGTGGTTACAGAAAGCTCTAGGTTCACATTCTACGTATGAAATGAAACTATTGCACAGAATATAAATGTGGAAGTGCACTAAAAAGAACATACTGGCTTGCTGGTAAACTTTGTGGTCCAGAGAGTTTCAGTGGGTTGGCCTAAGAGAACACTTCTGCTGAGGGCTGAGGCCTACATATTCCCAACCCTTGCCCCTTAGAAGATCTCAACATATCACCTAAATCTATTATCTTTTATCTATTAAGGAACAGGGAAAAGTTCTGTCACTACAGATACCTGCTACCCACAACCATGTCTGTGATAAACCAGGTTATCTGTTCAGTGGTGGTTGCCCTCCTTTTGCATGAAACCTCATCTTCATCTTACTATTCCACTTTCTCTACCAAAGCCAACTCTTGGCAACTCCTGTAACAAATACATACCAGAAGAGATACACTAACTCTCCATAAGGCATTTGTATGCTTTAAGTTAATCTGAACTTTTGTTGTAGGAAAAACTCCCATTCTAGATGATAGTAAGAAAGAAAGTTCTTGTTTTAGACACTCAAGAGATGGAAAAGATTTATAGCATCACAAAAAGATGTCCATTTGCCTATCACACTGAAGTTGATTAGGAGCTACAAACAAATGCCGTTTCTTTTCAATGCTGCCTGAGATTGATGGTAGTAAGATAGTTAAATGTACATATTATACATGGCAGGTAAACAATGCTTGCTGGGCATACAAAAAAATATAAACTATCTTTGATGTCTTTGACATCTGGGACATTATGCTAGAAGCTAATAATTCCCTGCTTAAGAAACCACATCATAGAATTATACACAAAAAAGATATTGTATACATGTTCAAACAGAGAATACTAACTACATAGTAACAACACATATGCACAGAATACAGTAAGTGCTTCATGAACACTGATTTAATTCCAACAATAGTAATTTCATAGTTGGTCTCTGTGATGCCCAGAAAGTACACAGTAAATGAGCAGAAGCAGCAGCAGGACTCAAACCCAGTTGTGACTGACTCCACCATCAAAACCTCTTAACCATGGTTTCATCCTGCCTGCTGTTTACTGTATTCCTTCACTTGTGTAGGACAGGCTAATTAGCTTCTCACTTTTAGGCTCTGCTTCCTACAATAAAAGACTCATATTTTAACAGTGATATGTGCATATGATTATAAAAATATGGTCCATGTACCACTGCACTTCCTATTGGTAGACTATTTAAATAAAAAGAAATTAAACATTTATTTAGGAATTCCATATGACAGTTTTTAAATCTGTAGCCCTGTATGAATCTTATATTTTGTTTCTTCTTAACAGGTAAAGCTACTGACTTTACCTATATAAAGAAATAAAATAACTACTACTTAAAGTTTTTTTTTTTTTTTAATTAGTGGGGAAAGCAGAAGAACTGGATTTCATTTTAACAACACAGTGTTTATTTTTAAAACATGGTAGGTAAATAAAAGTGCATCAATAATTTAAGTTTGTAATTTAGGGTTAAAGTAGAAAGAAACATGGTAATGGCTGAATAAAAAAAGACACCTATTAGTAAGTTGCGTACAACTTTAAAATATGAAATCCTAAAAACCCTCTGCCAATGTATCATAATGAGTTTATTATTAAAGAAACCACTGCTGCTAAAACAGCAGTTCAAAACCTTACTCTAAGATCATTAGGCAGCTTTGCAACTGGCTATAAATAACATTAAACATTAGAATTATTCTTTGTAAATACTGTTACAGATTCTATCACCTAATGCCAAAGTCTGCAAGATGATTTTGAAACCAGCATTTAGCACAATGAACCTTGATTTATTAAGCACAGGATGCCATTTAAAACCAACAGTTTTGAGATTATTTCTCTTCCTTCCACTCTTGATTTCCTTTTAAATCTCCAAAGGAAATTCCCACTGCAATTAGGTCCGAACACAAATTTGGAGAAACACACAAAAACTACAGATGTCCCTGGGTGTCCAGGTGGGAGGGAAGAATGCTTATGCCATGGTATCCCTCAACACCTTCTTATACCAAAAATCTAAGGATGCTCAAGTCCCTTATTTAAAATGGTATGGTATCTTCATATAACCTACACACATTCTACCATATACTTTAAATCACATCTAGATCATTTATAACAGCTAATACAGTATCACAGCTACATAAATAATTTGCTATTTTATCATTTAGGGAGTAATGATAAGTCTACAATCTCAGTACAAAGCAATTATTTTTTTGAATATTTTTGATCCACACATGCACAGTCTGTGGATATAAAAAACTAAATTTTTTTTGTTTAAGTATACTTTCTTTAGGTGGGCTGGGGATATAGCTCAGTTGGTAGAGTGCTTGCCTCACATGCACAAGGCCTTGGGTTCAAGTGCCACACCCACACAAAAAAGTATACTTTCTGCTTAAACCACCAAACCTAGATGGCTATACAGAGACCTAGGTTGTCAAAAATAGAATTATCTGATAGGCATAACTAATGCAAAGACAACATTGGAGCTAAGAAAATGCAAATGTAAATACAAGATCACCACTGAGGCACAGTAGCTCCTGCTTTCCTTACCCTCAGAATCTCTCTGGAGATGTAAGCAATCCAGTCTTCTTTGAGTGTGTTTCCTTTGGTGTTCTTCACAAGGTCTGTGATGGACCCAGCCCCACAGAACTCCATAACAAGCTACAGGGCAGACAAGACACATTGTGATTAACACACCAGCTTTCAGTACACTTACCTTGCAGAGAAGTGAGGAAATGCAGTTCCATTCACTCCCTTTCCTGGACACTTAGGCATGTGATCATTTTAGAGGTATCCAAGTTAATGACAGCTCATTCCATGCCCCTGTGTATTCACTCTGCACATGTGGTCTGACAGACTGGGAATGCCTAACACTCTATGGCATGTACCAGCCAAGATGCCTCTTCTAAGCATGTGGGCACAAAAGTGCCATTTGTTCTTTATCACTGCCCAATTATCAGAAATCGGATTCAAGTGCGCCCTTACATTCTTTCTCATTTTAATCTCAAACATGTTCTATTTTTCATACTTTATCATTATTAAATCATTTTGTATCAACTGGGTTTAATTTAAAAGGATAATGCTATTTTTTAGAAATTACATAATTTTAATGCAGTATTTATATCTGATTGAAAAATGATTACAGCTTATTTGTATATAAACAGAAATTAACTATTCTAAAAGTTTAATGACTGAAGTTAGATAATAAGAGTATTTTTTCCCTTCTAACTAATGTGAAACATCATCTTGAATAAAAATGTCTTCATGAAAATATAAGGCTACAAAGTGTTGATTTCAGAAATTTTCCTAAATATTTACCGTTTTTAAATTAAGTATTATCATTAATTCTTGTTTGACAAAAATTTTCTTATATTCTTTGCCTCACTTCCAGGTAGTTACAAAAAAAGAAGAAATTCACTGAGTTTTCATATCAACTGGCTCCCACATAAAATTCTTATTATTTTTCTTCCAAGATCCTAATTTCCTTGCTATTATATGGTCACATTCATCCTGGAAGATGCCAATTTGTTCCTGAATGACAAAGCTAACTTTTTTTCATGCAATGTGTGAAATCAACAGCAAAGTAAACATTTAGTTTATCTTCAACAACAAAGGCCAAGGAAGCATTTAGAATCCACCAGCTACTGACCTTTCTTTGCTTTTCATTCCTGTCCCTTGCCAAGTTCTTTTTATCCATATTTTTTGTTGGTGATTATAGTTGTAAATAATAATGTTACATATTGGTACATGCACACAATACTACAATATAATTTGGCCAATATATTCCCCAGCACTTTCCCTTGCTTCCTTATCTCCCACCCCTTGGTCCCTTTTCCTCTGTTGTTTCTCTCCCCTAACCCACTCCCTCTCTGGGGGATTGGGTGGGGGGCCCACCAGGGATTGAACTCATGGGCACTCAACCACTGAGCCATAACCCCAGCCCTATTTTGTATTTTTTTTAGAGACAATGTCTCACTGAGTTGCTTAGCACCCTGCTTTTGCTGATGCTGGCTTTAAACTCCTACCTCAGCTGCCTTAGCTACTGGGATTACAGGTGTGCGCAGCTGCACCCAGCTATTGTTTGTATTCTTGATGATTACCATTCTTACTTGGCGTGAGAGAAAATCTCGGTGTAGTTTTGATTTGTGTTTCCCCAAAAATTACTAATGATGTTTAACATTATTTCATATTTTTTAGCCATCTGTATTTCTTCTTTTGAGAAGTATCTGTTTAATTTGTTTGCACATTTATTAATTGGGTTATTTGGTTTTTTAGTGTGAAGTTTTTTGAGTTCTTTATATATTCTAGACATTAGTCCTCTGTCAGAAGTATAGCTGGCAAAAATTTTCCCCCTGGGCTGGGGATGTGGCTCAAGCGGTAGCGCGCTCGCCTGGCATGTGTGCAGCCCGGGTTCGATCCTCAGCACCACATACAAACAACGATGTTGTGTCCTCCGAAAACTAAAAAATAAATATTAAAAAATTCTCTCTCTTAAAAAAAAAAAAAAAAATTTCTCCCATTCTGTGGGTTTGTTCTTCTCATTCCCAGTTGTTCCCTTTGCTGTGCAGAAACTTTTTAATTTGATACATTTCATTTATTAACTCTGTGCATTATTTCCTTTGCTTGTTATATTGAGAAAGCCATTGCCTGTGCCTGATACACTAGAGTGCTGATCCTATGTTTTCTTCTTGGAATTCCATTGTTTCTGGTCTACCCTGGCACAATTCTTAATGCGCTTAAGAATACACCACAAAGAAAAGCCCACAAAATACTCAGAAACACATGCCTACCCAGAGTTGGTCATCGTGTCCTGGGGGGCTCTTTTTAATGAAAGCACCATAATATGTTGCAATATTTCTATGATGAGAATATTTCTTCAGCATGTTTATCTCCAGTTTGATTTCTTCTTCTTCATCCTTAAGAGAGGGGGGAGGAAAAAACAACACACAGCTTTTGAATGATATAGGAGACTTTATTTTCCCCCCACATATGCAATAACAAAAGAAGCTAAAGTTCTCTGTCCCTCAAGAAACAAAAGATTGCTTCATTCTCAGGGTTTCAAACTTGGCTTTCCCGTATTCTCTTATTAAAATAAGATAAGCAATGGAAGAAAAGATGACTTTGGGTGAGATGGAGGGTTAGGGGAATGAAGGAAACAAATGGTGGTATAAATCTGGAAGAGAAAAAAAAAAACTGTTCTTATGAAAGATGAGAGCTAAGAAGCCTGTGGTCTTCACTTTTCTCTTACATACACCTAGGGAAGAAATTCCAGCCAGGGACAATTTAGAGGTTGTGAATAGTCTAGGTACATGTGTACACATGCAACAAAAGGCAACAGAGCACACACTCATAAACAAGCATATATGTGCACACACACAACAATTTGAAGATGCCTACTGCTTTAGCCTAGCATCTCCAGAACCTAAGGAAATTCGGTTTATAAATATATTTTAGATGGGGCTGGGGATGTGGCTCAAGCGGTAGCGCGCTCGCCTGGCATGCGTGCGGCCCGGGTTCGATCCTCAGCACCACATACAAACAAAGATGTTGTGTCCGCCAAATACTAAAAAAAATAAAATAAATATTAAAAATTAAAAAAAAAATAAAGGTTATAACAAAAAAATATATATATATATTTTAGATGAAAGCTCAGCTGGGTGTGGTGGCACATGCCTGTAATTCAAGGGACTCAGGAGGCTGAAACAGGAGGATTGCAAGGTCAAAGCAACTAAGCAACACTCTACCTCAAAATAAAAGGAGATGTGGCTGAGAGGTTAAGTGCCTGAGGGGAGGGGAGAGAAGGGGAGGGATGAGGCAAAGCAGGGAGGGAGGCAGGAAGGAAGAATGAAGGAAGGTCCTGTCAATGTCATTAATTAGACATTAATGATGAGAAGAAATGGGAAAAGGAAAATAAATAATAAATAATCCAGTTGTGCATTACTGCTTTGGAAACCAAGCAGAATAAGACATGTAGTCACCCTAAAGTATTGATTCTCAAAATGGTAGTTTTCCTGCTTGGTGTAAATATTATAAGAGTATATTCCATAAACACAGTGCCTTAGAGCATTTATAGATGATAACTACCAATACAGCAACAGAAATCACATGGCCAAAAGTACAGTCTACAAAATAATTCTCATTCTAACCCCACACATAGGAAAACCTTCCATCTGTGATTTAAATACTGCCATGCTGAAAGGAGCAATGGAAAAGAAAATACTCAATAAAAGTGTCTTAATAACAAACAAAACCAGTATTTAGATTGGCCAATATAGAAAAACAGACCTGTTTAAGATCTTTCTTCAAAAGGAATCTTATACTAAAACAGAACAGGGTGGTGATTTTTATTAACAGTACCAGGAAGCAGACCCCAAAGAAAACCAGAAAGTCCAATTCATCAAAAGATTTACTTGTGCTTTTTCTACGCACTCACATTCATACATCAAGAATGATGGACATAATACAGTAATGTCCCTACTCATTGGCAGGGGGCATATTGAGTCTGTTTGCTCTGAACTCTCCACAACTTGCTCTAGAAAAGCCACCTACTTGGTCCAAGTAGGAAACAGCCCAGGACAACCCTAAGGAGATCCTGTCAAGACAGAAAGGTTCTTAAAAAAAATTAGAACATGTCAAAAACCACAATCAGATTCCTACTGAATGCCCTTTATGCCCCTATTGAAAGGGCTCACTGACCCAAATATTCATTTACTGCAGCCAGCTGATCAGAAAGGTTTGATTTTTCTATTCTTGTTCAAAATCAGTAACCTATAAGCTTTCACAAACACAAAAAAGAGTAATATTGCACTATAAAAGGAAAAAAGTCAAAATATTAATTTTAATTTTGTCTTAGTAGAAAGATCGGCCAGCTGATTACTTTGCATACTTTATGAATTTATTGGATTACAGAGGCTTGTTTTGTCCTATTCCTTACCCCTTCTTCCCTTCATGCCTACTCCTAGTGAAACTATTACCAGGGTCACTGTTCCTCTCATACTCTGCCAACACATTTCACTTCTTGACAAAAAGTAAATGCTGTTCAAGAGCATCTATGAGAAGCCAGGTGCAGTGGAGCATGCTTGTAATCCCAGTGGCTTGGGAGGCTGAGACAGGAGGACAGCGAGTTCAAAAACAGCCTCCACATAAAAATAAACAAATAAAGGTATTTTTTTAATGACACCATGAGGAAGGAAGGAAGGAAGGAAGGGAGGGAGGGAGGGAGGGAGGGAGGGAGGAAGGAAGGAAGGAAGGAAGGAAGGAAGGAAGGAGACAACCAGCTCACTAAAAGCAAGGCAATAAGCAACTCAGTGAGACCCTGTCTCTAAAATACAAAATAGGGCTGGAGATGTGGCTCAGTGGTCGAGTGCCCCTGAGTTCAATCCCCTCCAAAAAAAAAAAAAAAAAAAGACTACCCATAAGAAACCTGATCAATAAGGATCATGACATTTTTGATGAATTTCAATGAATTTTTTTCTTTTAGTGACACAAATCAGAGTCTTCCAGGATCTAATTTATTCACCACTCTACGAAGACTGGAGGGCTTCCAGGTCACTTGATGTTTTCATATCCCAATGAGACAGAAATCAAGCACACATTTTGGAGTGCTTAAGGATTCAGTACCATGCTGGTGCTCCCATAGACCGAATATAAATATTGGTAAAAATGGCTGGCAGAGTATCTTGGGGCATATTTAACTGATAGAGACACACCATTACTTTATATAATGAAACCATGATGCATCAGGAACCATAGGACTCACACTGTAACATCTTCAGAACTGGGCTGCACCTTGGAATCAATGAAACATAAGAACAACTTAAATGCAATCAAGTAGGACAATAGCTTTTTTAACAAGACTGAACCATTCAAATATCATCTAGAAATATAGTGATCAGACCAATGTCTCTTTCAAAACTATTTCCCAGGTCTTGAGGAGTCAAATTCTGAAGCACATTCTCCTCTCAAAATTATTGGTTTAGGATAATGTATACAGATACTTTGAACATTCCCTCTTTTATGATTTTAAAATAAAAGACATGAAATAAAAGGACATTTAGCACCACTAATTGTCATTCACTGTCTAATTATGAATGCCCACTCCTGGAGGGAAAAAAAAATCAGAAATACAGAATCTGCCCAATGGCTCTAAGCCAACTACAACTGGAATCCTAATTATAACTAAATATACAATATTTTACGTTGAACCAACTTCTGAGTTCCAGTCTCCCTTTGGAATTGTTGCAAATTTTATGCCAAATGGGGGTGGGTGGGATATAACCATTATATAAAGCATATTTTTTTGCTGGTATTAAAGAATATTTATGACTAAACTGTATTTGGTGCAAGATTAAGATACACAGAACACTTGTGAATATATACATTAATGCCGTGGCAACAAGGTGAAATACAGAAGTTTGGTGGTCTCAGGCTAACACTACATAGTATGTACCAATGAAGCAAGACATAGGTCAGGCAGTTAGTGTAGACAGATGGTCAGATCAGGAAGATGGAAGCTGCTTCAAAGGGAAAGAAAATGCTAATACTGCAGGATACATCCCCTACATTCTTGGCCAAAGTCAATGACCCTGGGATATTGAAATGTTAATGCCTTTAGGACACATCCCCTTCCCTGTCACTCAAGGCCAAAGTCACCTGCCTCCAGAGGGACAGTTCCTCCCAATGGGGAATTATTAATGAGTATTCCCTGGACTGCTCCCCTGTAAAATGGGGATAGGTATCCCTGAATTGCTCCTTTCCTACCTTTTTGCTGCATGGGTGGGATAAAAAGACAGAAAACCTGTAAAGTGAAAAACAAGATTCATCCCTCTCATGGACACCCAGCTCTGGGACCCCTTCTTGTGTTAATATTTTCTTTAAATAAAATTTGCTTTCTACACTTGCCTTAGCATTTCTCGGGTATTCCAACTTCAACCTATGGGGAAAGGGAACTTTCACTGGTAACGGGCAGTAACACTACCATTACCACCAAAACAAACAGCTTATTTAGCTAAAGAAGATACTACACTAAACAAACTTGGGACTGGCTAGAACTGAAAAGTAAAAACAATAACAAATCCCACATATGAAAAGAAAATTGGATTGGCAAAATTACATGGCTTTATATATTTTGTATTTTTTTTTAAAGAGAGAGTGAGAGAGAGAGAGAATTTTTTTTTTTTAATATTTATTTTTTAGTTTTCGGCGGACACAACATCTTTGTTTTTTGTACGTGGTGCTGAGGATGGAACCCGGGCCGCACGCACGCCAGGCGAGCGCGCTACCGCTTGAGCCACATCCCCAGCCCATATATTTTGTATTGTCAGAGTGCAAATTATTGTGACCTTTCACAATCTTTCTTCTTTAGGGGGCCACATCTTACACAAATGGAAGAAAAAAAAACTAAAAAAAGAAAAGAGAAGAAAAAAAGGAAAAGAACAGGGTGACCTGACAGGGAGGTCTTTTTGGAAAGAAAGGAAGACTTCCTTCTGTTTTTTTCTGTGAGGCAGCTGATTGCCTCCCCCAAGCCCCCACCCCGCCCCGCCCCGCCCCGCCCCCAGCCTCCGCGGTGTTTGAATGCAGCTGATGCCAATTAGCATTTTGGAAGTGGAAGCCAACTCTCACAGGGAAAAAAAAACAGGTCTTTGTCTCTGGCTGGAATGAATTAGTGGAGGAAGTTTTCAGTTGCCTCACCTGGCGGTTAAGAGGATGGGGGAGGGGAGAACATCTGCATAGTGGGAATTTTCACAAGGAGCACTGGGTTTGTGAATGAGTCATATGACAAGTCATGCCCACTCCACCATCTCAGCACACAGCCATGCATATTATTAGCATTTTGTTCTTTGTTTTTTAATGTTCCCTCAAAATGAGGATTAGACTCTAGTTACCTAAATTCTCTCATTCCACTGATCTAGGTAGC